CTTTCATAAAACACACTAAAATATTTATAATATTATCATCAATCCGCATTTTCCACCAACCACAAATCTAAGTAGGGACAATTCCAAAGAAAGCCAAGAGAGTCAGGGGAAAGGCAGGTCTCCCTGCAATAAGAAAGTGCACAAAAACCCAATCATAAGCTGCATTAGTCCACCATCCACTTTGAGAGTTACCTTTTTCCTGGCAAGAAGCAGATATATTAGTCAGAACTCTCACTCCGTGAGCAGCAATGCCACGGTTATTATGGTAACAGCATTCCTGTGCCAGCTTTACTAAGTCAAACGATATTGCTGCTGTAGCAGTTGTTCCTAAATAAGGAAACAAAAGGAGGACAATGCTGCAACATAATCTATAATCATGTCACAAGATCTTCCCTATAATTTTAAATCCAATTCTGCTTGGCTGACACTTTGTTTTATTTCCCATTCCTCCCCCACATCCTAAAAATGTATCTTCCCCTACATGTGGAATACCCTTTGTCAGTGCACAAGCACGTAAGCTACACAAGTTGGATGTCTATGGTAGCTCTTATACCTGAAGACTGCTTAACATTAGTTAAAGCTATCCAAAGGGACACAGCATTTGGAAGAGGGTCATGAATATCTGATTTTAACATGGGATCATTACACGTAAGTAAAACTATGACTGTCACAAATGTAATGCATTTTATAGCAGAGGTACAAAAAATGTGATAAATCACAGAAGGTGGGAAGCCTGGGACTGGGGGTGGAGAGCAAGTCCACCCCACATTTACCTGCAATAGTGGGTCTTTCCCACAGGGATAAGCCTGGCTCCCTGGTTGCAACAATACACAGGTTTGGTATATCAGCCCCTTTGTCTCCATTAAGAGAAAAGTGGATGCACCAAACTGAGTGGTGCTGCAATCATGTGGGACAGATCACAGTACTTGGAGTGTGGAGCCAGGTCTAATTCCATAGGCCCAGAGCAGCTGGTATGTGATCATGGACTTCATTCAAATTCATGATTACTGAAAACACTTCAACCTCTGCACCAAATTCAAACCTTTATTACAGTATACATGAAAGTCACTGACAAGTTTTTTGAAATGTATTGGTTATTCTTCTCTCCCTCCACGGCCTATGCAGCTGGGTTCCCAGCAAATATGGCAGTGTGGCCTCAGAAATAAGGGATAAAAAAATCAACACCACACAGGAGCATTTAAGAGTTCCCTGAAACATTTTTCATGTTACTTAGTGTAATGTGCACTATAATCAGAACTCACAGTTGAGTCAAAGGTTTTAGAGAGACCCATGTGCATCACCCCCACATAACTGTCCAGTGGCTTTGCCTCTCCTGGATAATATAAGCAGTTTAGCCTCATATCCACAGAACTGACACTATAAGCACTTCATCTATTCAGTCTCTCTCAAGCATCCAGCACATCTATGGAATTATTCATCTCAAAACACCTAATAAAAAAAGTTAAGCCTATATAAAATAGGCTAAGTAAATATTAATAGCCCCATTTACGAACAGAGAAGCTGAGACACAGGAACAAATGACTAACCCAAAGTCTCATGGCAAATTAAAGCCAAAGCCAGGCACAGAATGTCTGAGATCTGCTCTATTATACTATACTACACCATGATTATGTTTACATTATATAAAAAACACTTGATTGCATGAACTTCAGTTAGGGTAAAGTTCATGGTTCAGGAAGTGCTTTAGGATCCTTCAGAGGTGCTATGTAAAGTATTATCAACACTTACCAAACCCTCACAAAAAAAGTGCTAAAATTTGGCTGACAATCTAGTCTTCTTACCTGGAGCTATGCTGAAGTACTGTTTGATGGCAATGGTCCCTGATAGCGTGGAAAGAACAGAAAGCATGCCTAGTTTCAAGCTGTCATAAGGAGTTTGAAGAGCACATTCACAGAGTGCCTAAACATCAAAGAGAAGAGAATATGGAAGGGGGGAGGGGGAAATCCTACAAATTAACCATCTTCATAAACTTTTTTTTTTTTTTTTAAACACACATTTTGTAGTTTAATTTTAATACAGGTAAAACTGTATGGGGGGGGAAAAAAATCACTACTGACACCAAATTCAGATCTTGCAAATATGTTTCTTCACTTGCCACTGTCCTAAAGCAGTGCTTACTGGTTCTGGTTAACCCATAACCGGTAGGGCCTGAACAGCTCCCCACCTGCCGTGGGCACAGGCTGCTCTGGCAACCGAGCAGCAACCCTCTGGCATCCAGAGCAACCTCTGTCTGCAGGAAGCCCTGGCCCACCATAGACAGGAGTAGCTCTGGTGGGGGCTTGGGAGCCAGCAGCAGCCCCAGCAGCCAGTCCCATTGTGGGGTGGGGATGGGAGCCCTCAGAGCTGGGAGCTGCTCCACCTCTACTGAAGCAGTCCCCAAGCTAGATCTCACTGTCAACCTACCATTTAATCAGTTAACTGAAAACCAGGATTTTATATCCCCAGATAAAGTATTCAACTTATTATAATCTGTAATGGTTCTTGTTTAAAAGAGAACTGTCTGTAAACAGAGTTTTCAAGGGTCACCTCCTGCAACACCATTTATAAAAGTGCTTTTTAATAGAAAAGGAAAATCATCAAGTGAAAAATAAAGAAATTTCAAAACTTGCTGAGAATAAACACTGAATTTTCTTGGTCATCAGCATCATCTATTATTTATGTTATGGTAATCTGTAAAAGTCTCAATCCCATTGGTTACAAGCATTCCTTTCCCTAATGAATTTGCAGTCCTATCACAGCCCTATCTGTGACCTCGGTTAAAGACAGAACATATTAATCTTAGGGCTGTCAAATGATCGCCATCAACTCTAGCAATTAACTCAAAAAATTAACTTGATTAATTGCAGTTTTAATCACACTGTTATATTTCAACTGGTATTCTATTAGTGTTCATTATATTTTTTAATAAATATGAATACAGTACTTGTGTGACGTAAATTGAAAAATATTATTTATCTTTTTAAAGTGCAAATATTTTGTAATGAAAAATATAAAGTGAGCACTGTGATATAATTAAAATCAATATATTTGAAAATGTGGAAAAAATGTAAAAATATATTTAAATTAGTATTCTATTAGTATTTAACAGTGTGATTAAAACCGCAATGAATTAAAATCAATTTTTTAAACCATCTGACCATCTTAATTTTGTAAGCTGCCACTGCTGGTGTTTCAAACTGTGTCTGCGGATAAATCTAGCTACATAGGAGACCTCTGCTTTGAGCTGTGTCTTCGCATGTCTGATCACTCACCCCTATCAGATGGGCTGAGAAGAACTAGGCAAAATGCATCATGAAAAACCGCAATGAATTAAAATCAATTTTTTAAACCATCTGACCATCTTAATTTTGTAAGCTGCCACTGCTGGTGTTTCAAACTGTGTCTGCGGATAAATCTAGCTACATAGGAGACCTCTGCTTTGAGCTGTGTCTTCGCATGTCTGATCACTCACCCCTATCAGATGGGCTGAGAAGAACTAGGCAAAATGCATCATGAAGTCGCCCCCCCCCCCCCCATCAACTTCCACCTGCACTGGCAGTATAATCTTTTCTGTGCTAGCTAGTAAGGTAAGAATTTTATATATATATTATATTTTATACTTTTGAAATGTATTTTAAATGTAATGTGTCAAACATTTTAACTGGAGTATGGGAGGGCAACTCAAATTATGTATTAACAGAGCCAATGCCAAAGCCAAGGCATTTTCTAAATGAAGCTACTCTGTCACGCAGCTGTTAGTGCACAATCGAGGGTGATTAAAATTGGGAAAAACATGCAGTGGGTATGTTTAAAATGAGAAATAACTTGTCAGTCTTGAAAGAGAACCAAACTCTTTAATCTGAGGGGAGCAGAACATCCCATTCTAACCTCTAACTAGATCAGTGGTTCCCAAACTTTTCGGCATCATGCCCTCTTTTTGATTTCTGAGAAACCCTCATGCCGCCCCCCCCTACCCATAGCAGGAAAAATTTGTTGGGGGGGGGGGGGGGAGGAGGAAGGAACTGACCGGGGCCAAAAAACAAAAATAGCAGCAAAACTTTGGGGGGGCAGGGCTGGGTTGCTTTGCAAACCTGAATGTTCTGTCTGCTCCAGGTATGTGGGGTTTTGTTTGCCAATAACTTTAGATCTTGGATACCAAGTCGTTTCACAGCTTTCCTGGGATCATTTTTCAAGTATTGCAGCAAAAGTTGAATCTGCAACAATAAACATTTTAAAATATTAACTGGGATTCTATAGTTAAATTAGCAATTTTTAAAAAATGTAAATATTGGTTAAAATAATCTTTTTTTAAAAAGTTCACAAGGTAACTGTATGCATATATTTATTCAAAGCAGGGTTCCCTGTAAGCTGTGTGCTTGTGTGGCCACTCAGGAGAGACTCAAATGCTGCCCAGCTGATTAGCAGAGCACCCCCAGCTAAGTTTTTGTTTTTACCGGTGGTGCATATTTACACATGCCTCAGTGCATATAGGAAAATATATTCTACAGATGGATAGAAAAGATTAGAGCTCAGACAGCAATGCTTCTAAACCCCTATGAGCTGGGAGAGCAGTGTACTTGTTGTCATAAAAATGGAATGCACCAGGTTTCAGGTTACCTGTACTTAATAGATATCAACAGTGACTGCTGAACTAGAGTAGCAGTTACCAAAGCCATTTCAGACAAGAATTGTTCTCTTAGGCTAAAGACTGTCACTGGTAGATCCTGTGATGCAGTACGGCTACAAATGGGTAAGAGTGGACCACCAGAGTTCCATGATTTTTTTTAAAAAATAAGGATGAGTTAACTTTGTATCACATTTCATTTATATATGGATTTACTGTGTGCTCATCACTTTTTTGGGCACACAGAATTACCAAACACATTGCTCCTTTAAGCTGAGAGCATCACTATAGTTGCAACTTGTAATTTATAGCAGTGGGTTTAAGGGCCATTGAGACTCTTAACACACAAACATTTTACATGTATATTCATTTTTCTAGTCTGCAGATAAGATACTTAGCTTGGGGGAGGGAGAGGATTCCAACTAGTCAAAGAAGGAAACAGGGTTAGAAGCAGGAGCTGGTGCAGAGGCCTATGGACAAGCAGCAACATCTTTGAGAGAAGCAGGATGTGAAATGTTTTTGCCCCTTGAAAAGGAGGAGATTTTTTTGAAGAAGCAAAAAAAAAAAAAAAAAAAAAAAAAAAACACCAGACAAAATATTTTTTCTGAAGAGCCAAAAAAAAATTTGAAGAATGGCAGTTTCTGGGGTGGTAGCAGGCATAGCAGGACAGTACAGAGACTATGGTCTAACTATTTTCACCATCAGAAAGGAACTGACCTATTTAAGTTGTTTTGCACTTTCAAATAAGGGATTACCTTTACAGCAATTAATGTTACCTGTTTGGGTATGTCCACCAAAGAGGAAGCAGCAAGCAAGGTAAAGGTGTGGAGAGTAACAATGACCATCTTGGTGGAAGGATAGGATGTTACCAGCTGTTGGAGAAGCTGACGGGAGCTAGAAGCCAGGCTGGCATCATGGTGCATGTGCTGTAGTATGGGGATCAACTTCAGCTTTAAGTCCACTGGAGTAGCTAAGCCTAATACATGAAAAGATGTATTCAGGTATCAGAACAGATTTCAATGAACTTTTCAAAAACTACATCTAAATGACACCGATGACATTGAGACAAAAGCGAAGAAAGTTAAAATGAAGGACAGTGGTGGGAAGCAGCTGCTAGAAATGATGGAGGTAGTACTCAATTCCTGAAAGAGCAAGTCTCTGTGGCTGCAAAAGCTGCCGGGCGGGGGTAGAGGGGTGGCAAGCGTAGCAAGCAGGGGGTGCAGCCCCCCCTAGCTATTATTATTATTATAAAGGAAAATAGATCAGTCTTATAATATTTCGGTCACTGCAAAAGGCTCAGGATAAAGAGCAGCCTTGTCATAATACAGAGGCAAAGAGAAACTTAGAAACTCTAAGTCAACATAAAAACCACACATTACATAGCATCTTGAGCAGTCAACACACACAGAAATTCAGTTTACCATCAAATACATTAGAACATGCTTTGGACATTTACATTAGCTCACTTTACTTCAGGCAACTGGAGTGTTTCAGGGAAGTGTAGGGATGAGGTAGTAGTGGATTCTAGTAGCATTTAAACATTATCAGAAACAATACTATAATAAATATTAAAATCTTTTCATTTTCTTCTCAGAATTCAATCCACATACCCTGAATCATTTCACTGATTTTGTTACATATTCCTCCAGCAAAATCCCTGTGAAGAGAGAAGACAATGTCCTACATCAACTGAAACTCAATGAACTGCAAATTGTGACTTTTATGGTTTAATAATGATCCAAGAAATTAAGAGGGACTATTAAAATTAAAAAAAAAAAAAAAAAAAGCAGACTCATGCTGGTGAACTTCAAAATTTAAGAGTCATTTTCTAAATCCAAAACGACATTTTTGTTTGCTTGACTAAAATTTCCTGCTAGTAGTCAACATCACAGAAATATACTGCATTTAGCCACTTGTTACATAGTTTCCATCAATCTTCTAGACCTTCAACTGTGATTACAGTTCTACCAAGTCTATCACTTAGTAGAACTATGGAACTGGGTCTCTTGCCAAGCTTTATCAGCATCAACTCTAGGGATGTGAAGGACTAGTAGACTATCCAATAAGCAGGCTAGTCAACTAGTCGCTTCCCCTTCCTTGCTGCCTCTGTCAGAAAGAGGCAGCAAGGGAAGGGAGGGGTGTGTGTGCTTCAAAGTGGCAATGCCGCATAAAGCCTGGGGCCAGACTCTGGGCTCCACAAGGCGCTGCTGCTTTGAAATGCCGCGTGCAGCCAGCAGCTAGCTGAGGAACCTGGGCTGCACCTGGCATTTCAAAGCAGCAGCGCTGCACGGAGTCCGGGATCAGCTGACGTCTCCCTTGCTGACTCCGGGCTTCATGAGGTGCTGCAACTTTGAAATGCAGCAGGGAGCACGGGGCCAGCGGGGAACTGCTTGAGCAAAAGCAAAACTTTTTATTTGATCCAGTCTGTATTCTTGGAACAAAATATAGAAGACTTCAGGTGCAATACACAAATAATTTAAAATACAGGTTAACAGGATTGATTACTGAATGCGTAGGATAAAGCAGTTTCGAGCACATGTAGGCTACATCTAGACTACACATAGTTTACAAAAAAGCCTCTTTCGAAAAAGAGCATCTAGATTGCATTACATGGATTGAAAAAAAATCGATCTGCTTTTTTGAAAAAGAGCGTCCAGACTGCTGCATGCTCTTTCAACAAAAAAGGCACCCAGAACTGCATCTGGCAGAGCATGGGGCAGCCTTTACTTCCTGGAGCTGCTGTATGCCCTTTGCAGAGACATGTGCTTAAAGGGATTCCCCTGGACAGCCGTTGCTCTGCTCCTGCTTCTGGCTTGCCTACCTCCTAGAGAGAAGGCAAAGCTGCTCTAGTTGCCTGATAGCCCTATGCTGCCATACTGCAGCTTCTGCTGCATCTTCAGGACTCTGTCATGAATCTCCTGCCCCATGTGGACCCGGACCAGACGTCTGTCCGGGATACAGGAGCTCTGTCCTTGCCCCCAAACTTTTTTGGGGACAGGCAGATTTGGAGGCACAAGACGAGTTTGGACTGGTGAGACTGGCTTGTCATGGAGCTCTGGGATGATGACCAGTGGCTCCGCAACTTCCAGAAGAGGAAGGCCACATTCCAGGAGCTGTGTGCCTGGCTCAGCCCTGCTCTGGAATACCAGGACACCCATCTGCGGCCTGCCATCCCCCTACAGAAGCGGATCGCAATCGCCCTTTGGAAGCTGGCCACCCCCGACAGCTACCGCTCCGTGGGACACCAGTTTGGCGTGGGGAGGTCTACTGTCGGGGCCATTTTGATGGACGTAAGTCACTTTTGGGGGACATGCCCTGCTGAGTGTGGGGGTTGAGAAAGGGGGACTGTCAGGCAAAGACAAGAGGGAGTGGAGGATGGAGTGGCACTTGGAGGCAGCTCCTTGGCCAACCCTGCGCTGATGCGGGGGAGGTCCTGAGGGGTGGATGGGGGAGAGTTCTCTTCCCAAGCTCTTAGGTAACCTGTCTAACGCCCTGGTTTCTGTCTGTCTGTCTCTTGCTGCAGGTGGTGAGGGCCATCAATGTGGAGCTGCTGCTGAAGAGGCTTGTCCGTCTCGGGGACCTAGACAACTTCCTTGCCAGATTTGCTGCCCTTGGCTTCCCAAACTGCGAAGGAGCCCTCGATAGGACACACATCCCAATCTGCGTCCCGCCCCACTGAGCAGCCCAATTTATAAACTGGAAGGGCTACTATCCCATGGTGCTGCAGGCTCTGATTGACCACCGAGGACATTTTATCGACATTTGCGTTGGGTGGTTGGGGCGGGCACATGATGCCCGCATATTCCTCAACTCTCACCTGTACCGCAGGTTGCAGGCAGGAACATTTTTTCCCACAGCAGCACCTCACACTCGGGGACGTGCAGATGCCAGTGTGCATAGTGGCTGATGTGGCCTATCCACTGATACCGTGGCTCATGAAGCCCTATACTGGCCACCTGGATGCGAGCGAGGTTTACCGGCATCGACAAAACTGCCGTGTTCTTTCAATTTACTGTTGACAGAACATGGTGGCCATCTAGACACAGGTAAAGTATTTTAAAAAAGGTCCCCCCCCCCCCCGAAAAAAACCCTATAGTCTAGACATACCCATAGAGAAGGTGCCAGATGTGAAAACAGTCACTGAATTTTGTTAAAAAAAAAAAAAAAAAAAAAAAAAAAAGGTAATGACCCTTTGGTAAAAAAAGGGTTACAGAACATTTTCCTCTTAAAATTGCACAAGAAGGTTTTGGGGATTCTTTTAATAAACCCCACAACATATTCACCATTAGCAATCAAAGGAAATGCAAAAATGTCAGTTCAGGTTGGAAAAATAATTGACAACCTTCTTAAAATATAGTCCACTGAATTTTTGTAACTTAAAAACACAATTGTAATTGCCAGATTAACTCACTTTCATGATATTTTTTAAACATTTTAAGAGTAAATTGTAGGAAATTTAGAGAAACATCATCAACCTAAAACAGTCCAATTAAAAAGATAAAGTTTAAAGTAGTTTCAGACACTATTTGCTATGGAATCCCCTTGCCAATTTTTGCCATTTTATAATCTCATGTCCTTTTCTGAAGATTTTTTTTAAACCTTTAGCTTCACCTCAAAAGAACTCTAAAAAACAAAGGTAACTGATTAGTAAGGAGAAAAATAAAAAATAAAAAAAACCCCACTGTCTAAAGTACAAAGGCAACAAATGGAAAAAGAATTCTCCTAGAATCCCTTTCAATTGCAAACATTTTAAGGATTTTTTTTTTTTTTTACGGTTAAAATAAAGTGTATTTTTTTAATTCGACATGTTCTTAAGTTTTATTCCCCACGATATTCCTTAAAATTTTCCCTCACAGCTTTAAAAAAATGTAAACAAATGTCAAAGAGATTCAAATGTCCCTTGTGGGTGCATTTTTATATATGGTTTCAAACTTCCTGCAGCATTCATGCTGTACATTATAAACAGCACACATGTCTTTTGTACCTTTCCATATATGGCATGGTAAGTACTGCAGAAAGTGATCCCAAATTAATTGCAAGTCAGTGAGGAGTCTCACTGTACTGATAGAACTTCCATTTTCCAAATTACAAACAATAAGAGTATGGAAGAATTTACAACTTACTTTGACTGTGCAGAAAAGTTAGCAGCAGCAAATATAGCAGCTTCAACTTCAACATTATCATGGGAATCCAGGCTTTGGCGAATACTGTGATGTGCATTCTTCCTTTCTGGGATTATGGATGCCATACTCCCTAACATCCTGCAGAAATAAATCACAGCAGAATCAGAAAGCAGATATTCATTGTCGAAGGAAATGTGACTGCAGTTAAAATTAACTATGAAGATGGAAATTAGGTCTGCAGTAATTCCTTTAAGAAAGATAACAGACAAGACATAATATACAACCAAAAGCTTCCTACCTATTCACAAAACTGTCTATGCCTTCCTTCTGCTTACAACTGCTTACTGAGGACAAAACTAGCCAACTGTGGATTTTAATCACTGAACTAGCAAGCAATTTTAATTAATTTATCATGCTGCATATTACAGATATACTTTGTGAACTGAATTTATATGCAAATTTGGTGCTGCTCTCTAGTTCCTCTTAAATTATTCAATACACCAATTGGGAGTGGGGTAAGCAAAAGGGGTGGTTGCCTGGGGGCCAGAGCTCCCAGTCACCACCACTGCTATAGCCGCTTGGGGCAGGCAGAAAGACATGGGCTTCCTCCCAGCAGCCCCATCCCGAGGCCCCGCCTCTTCAGGGGGAGGAAGAGTCACACTCCTATACCTTGCCACAGGGGCTGTAGAGGCCATCAATCCTGCTCTCTTGATGTCAGTCAGCAAGGAGTCACAAAAAAGGGGAAGATGCATAGTGAATCTGATCAGATCCACCAAAGAAATATTATGACAATAAAAAAAAACAAAAAAACTGTGGGCATGTTTTTTATCTGATTTAAATAAAGTGCTTTTCAGACACTGTGGCACCGACCTATAGTCTCAGGAAGAATCTCAAAATACAGAAGAGAAGATGAACTTCAGAAATTGATAAAAGCTGCTTTAACATCCCTGTTTTTAATACTGCTTCTAGTAGCAATTTTAAACAAAGGGAAGCATTGAGCAAAGTACAGGATAGCATGAAAAAGTTGTTTAACTTGTTTGCCTTGATTTTTGCTCATATTTTATATAAATGACTTTGAAAGTGAAAGGTACAGTTAAGATTATATTTATCAGTGTTACGAAACTTAATAATAACCAGGCATCACAAAAAAACAGGTAGTGCCGTTCTGGATAGTGTAAAGGGATTAAAGACAGTCATAAAGTTGCTTAAGCAATTCAGTGTAAAGAAGCAATGTAACTGAGCTATCAGCAACAGAAAAAAGATATTTGCACAGATTTACAGCTTGCCTAGATTTTGGGAACCAAGGGGAAGTTACCAACAGCTGTGTATGAAATTCTGTAGGATAACAGGACTCATTGACTCTAAGTTCAGAAGGGACCATTATGATCAACTAGTCTGACCCCCTGCACAGTGCAGACCACAGAATCTCTCCCACCCCTCCCAGAATAATCCTCTCACCTATATCACAGATATTGAAGCCTTCAAATACTTTGAAGACCCCAAGATGCAGAGAATCCTCTAGCTGTGATCTGTACCCCATGCTACAGAGGAAGGCGAAAAACCTCCAGGGCCTCTGCCAATCTACCCTGGAGGAAAATTCCTTCCCGACCCCAAATATGGCGATCAGCTAAACCCTGAGCATGTGGGCAAGACTCATCAGCCAGACACCCAGAAAGTTCTTTATAGTAACTCCTATCATCCTTCCATTGACCTATTCCCACCGATAATGAAGGACAATCTCAAAAGGGCAGGGATGTGATCAACTTAGAAGCCTCTATCCACGGGGCTCAATTAAAGTTCCAGGAAATTTAAGGGAGAACACAGCACTGTCACCACATGTCCTCTTTCAGAGTGGGGTGGAACTGCCCACCCCAGGCAGAGCACTCAAGCTGCCTAGTAGGGATGTAAAATTGTATTTAATTAAATCAGTTAACTGGTTAGCTAAACAGGGATGGGTGGGGAGGCGATACTCCAGCCAATCTGGGCAGGAACGGCTCCAGTCAGGCCACTCTGGCCTGTAAGCGCATGGGTTGTGACGTGAAAGCCCTGTGTGGGGCCCAGCGGGGCTAAAGCTTCACCCATAATCTGTTAACATCCCTAGCAGCCATGGAGGTGCAATTTACCCCATGATGGTTTGGGTGAATGCAACCTATTATCTCTAATATTATTAAAGTTACAGAAAATTTTGACTGTGCATTCTTTATGGTCTTTCCTAGAAGTCAGGAGTTTACACCTTGTATGCTATAGAATGCAGGGTATTGTCCTCAAGTTCACGCGAGCAGAAAGTTTCAAAGGTGGAGGTAAGGAAAAAAAGTTAGGTCTGTCAATTAATCTGCGTTAACACCAGCAATTAATGCAGGGCAGGATTAAAACATTAAAAAAATTTCCAAGAGGCAGCTGCACTGAGCCCAGGATCAGCTGAGGACTCCAGCTGATCCTGGGCTTCCACAGTGTTGCCCCTTTGAAATGCTGTTGCAGCATATCAAAGGGGCAGCACAAGCGATTAATTTTTTTAAAAGCTTGACAGCCCTTGAAACAAAAAATCTGAAATGATCAATATAAATGGTGAAAACAAGAAGTCGGATACACAAAGCTTAATTTTTGTACAAGTCAACAAATTATTCCAGTTTTGGAAATTTATGAACAGTTTGTGATCCCACTATAACAAATGTATGTTAATAAAACACACTTTAGAAGGCATAAAACACAAGTCAAGTTACTTGTACATACAACCTATCAATATCTACTATATATTTGAGAGAGTTTGTCTGGAGTTTCTAAATGGTAAGAGGTCCCTCTTATAACTTAAAATAAGTTAACAATTTGGTTGTGCCAAGAAAATGGAATATATCTCATAAAATCATATAGAAAAGACACCCCTCAACTCCCTGTAGGGACTACCCAAGCCCCATTGCTCCCCCCGCAGATGCTGACGTTCATCCTCTCCAACTTGTACAGGGACATTGCTGACTGTTCTCTTCCGTCAGAGAGTGAAGGGAAACTGCATTGTCCGCGGCATTCCCCATTGTGGCTGGAGAACAAAGGGAGGTAGATGAACTTGGACCTGCCCCAGCCGGGGCACATGCACCCACTCCCTGAGCTGTGCCTGCTGGAGCTGCAGCAGCCATGGACATGCACTTCTCACCTCACCCTAAGCTGCTGCAGTGAGAGATGGTTGGGGTAGTTCTCTTCCCAGAGCAGCCTGCACACTGAACTGCTCATCTCCACCCCCAAGCAATGATTTAAATGTACCATCGGAAGGGTAGCTGTGTTAGTCTGTATTAGGGATGTAATAGTACAGTCAATTAACAAGCAAAAGCATATCAGTTAACCCTATAGACTTCATGCATTTTATAGAATCATAGAGCTGGAAGAGACCTCAGGAGGTCATCAAGTCCAGCCCACTGCCCAATGCAAGACCAATCCCAACTAAGTCAACTGAGATTTAAAAATCTAAGGATGGGATGGAATCTCCATCCCTAGAGGTAACCCATTCCAGTGCTTTACCATCCTCCTACTGAAACAGTTTTTCCTAATAGCCAACCTAGACCTCTCCCACGATAATTTGAGACCATTGCTCCTTGTTCTGCCATTCGTCACTACTGTGAACAGCCTTTCTCCATTCTCTTTGGAACCTCCCTTCAGGAAGTTGAAGGCTGCTATCAAATCCCCTCTCACTCTTCTCTTTCGCAGACTAAACAAATCCAGATCCTTCAGTCTCTCCTCATAGGTCATGTGCTCCAGCCCCCTAATCATTTTGGTCATTCTCCACTGGACCTTCTCCAATGCGTCCACATCCTTTCTATAGTGGGGAGCCCAGAACTGGACACAATACTCCAGATGTGGCCTCACCAGAGCCAAATAAAGGGGAATAATCACTTCTCTAGATCTGCTGGCAATGCTCCTCCTAATGCACCCTAATATGCCATTAGCCTTCTTGGATACAAGGGCACACTGTTGACTCATATCCAGCTTCTTATCCACTGTAATCCCCAGGTCCTTATCTGCTAAACTGCTACTTAGTTATTCGGTCTCCAACCTGGAACAATGCTTGGTATTCTTCCGTCCCAAGTGCAGGACTCTACACTTGTCCTTGTTGAACCTTATCATATTTCTTTTGGCTCAATCCCCTAATTTGTCTAGGTCCCTATCCCTGCCCTTCAGCATATCTACCTCTCCCCCTAGCCTAGTGTCATCTGCAAACTTGCTGAGGGTGCAATCCATCCCCTCATCCGGGTCATTAATAAAGATGCCTAACAAAACTGGTCCAAGAACAGATCCTTGGGGCACTCCTCTAGAAACCAACTTCCAACCTGACATCGAGCCGTTGATCACTATCTGTTGGGCCCGACAGTCCAGCCAGCTTTCTATCCATTTATCCAATCCATATTCCCTTAACTTGCTGGCAAGAATACTGTAGGAGACCATATCAAAAGCTTTGCTAAAATCAAGGTATATCACATCCACTGACTTTCCCATATACACAGAGCCAGTTACCTCATCATAGAAGCTTATCAGATTGGTCAGGCATGACTTGCCCTTCAATGAATCCATGTTGACTATTCCTGATCACTTTCCCCTCTTCCAAATGCTTCAAAATGTAAGCATCAGCTGTGCATCAGCCAGTAAGTTTCTTAGCAGGCTGGCCAGCAGCTCAACTCAGTTCTGATTTTTGCTGGGTCCGGGACCTACTCCTACTGCAGCTCTGCATTTAAAATGTATTAGGAGCCAGGAGGGAAGGCAGCCTGGCTCATACAAGGTGTGGGAGCTCAGCTCCTGTCCCTGGACAGAGGCTGCTGCCACCCCGTGCTGCTCTCTGTATCAGAGGCAGCAACGTGGGGAAACAGGTAGCCAGTCAGCGAGGGGAGCCGTTTTTAAAACTGGCTCTCCTCATGGATCAGCCTCTGTCTGGTACCCCACGCTGTTGCCTCTGATACAGAGGCAGTAGCGCATCAGGAGTGGGCCCAGAGCACACTGGCTGCCAGCCTCACCCTCAGGGACTAGTCGAGTAACCTATAAGAATTAATGAGTTTATCGACTATTCAGTTAACCAATATTTAACATACCTAGTCTGTATCTCCAAAAACAAATGGAGTCTTGTGGCACCTTAGAAACTAACAGACTTGTTAAAGCATAAGCTTTCCATGGGTAAAACCCACTTCATCAGATGAACTGCAGTGGAAGTTACTAAAGCCTTATATATACTCCTGCATCTGTAACTTCCACTCCTATTCATCTGATGAAGTGGGTTTTTCCCATGAAAGCTTATGCCCTAATAAATCTGTTAGGTTCCAAAGTACCATAGGACTCCTCTTTTTATAATGATTCATGTACATTTTCAATTTTCATTTCCAAAAACCAAAAATTGAGTTAAGGACCAAGCAATGCTGGTTATATCTTCTAGTGGCATATATAAGATGCAATTATGCTCTCTACCACATCTACACAACTCTCGCCACCTCAACTGGATATCTACTATCCTCCTTATTCTGGTCATAAATATGTTAACCTTGCTCCTATTAAAAATACCCAAAAGAAAGTGCAAGAAAGGTAAGAGCAAACTGTCTGCTTTTCATTCTTAATGCTGCAGAATTAAATTCCAGTTTTAAAAGACACCAAAGAATTGATAAACATTTACTTTGTAATTAAACAGCTGTCACAAACCTTTGTAATAAGTGGTTTTAAATTAGAAAGACATACCTGAGTGTGATTGCTCGAGCAACTGGATCATTGCTATGAATTACAGAGAAAACTCTTTTCACAAACTCATCCACATTCAGGATCTTCTCTAAATGCTTTTCACTCTGCTGAGTAACTTTCAAGACACACAGCCTCAAAAAGTTATTTCTATTGGAAAATAAGTAATAATTATATATACACTTGTGTGTAATGTAAATTCACAAAAATGCTAACTGATTTAAATTAAATTAAATTTAGAGATCACTACAAAACATTACTTTTTATACTAGAATCAGCATAAATTTGGGACCCAATCTTCTTCCTACTGAAATTAATGGCAGTCTTGAGGCTAAATATATTGGGAGTTTGAGTACTGAAATGAGATCTGAGCAGACACAGATGTCAGAAGGACCTATATACCATATACATGCACACATAATGAATGAATCCTACATCTCCTCAGCACTCAGAACATACTGTCTGACACAGTCACAAGTACAGGGCTACCCGTCTACCCCTTTGTGATCTTGAGTGCACCTCCAACCTCATGTTCATATCTATCCAGGGCTGGAATTCTGCAACTGTTCCACTCACACATAGGGTATTGGAGGCTGGGTCTCAGCCTATCAATTCCCCAATGCTGGATTTAGTCCTGCTGGGTAAGATGCGATTAGCAGTGGCGCATGTAATTACCTCAACATTCTTTTAAAAAATAATTTTAGCAGTAGAAACAAAGAATTTAGAGAAAAATGATTCCAAAACCAATTCTCTATACATGTCTATCCCACCAAAGCCCTACCATTCTGCAATAATGATGTAGGCAGGTCTAGCTCCTTCAGATATCCCACCGTGATCCCCAACACCTGTGTCCTCACCAAATCATTCTCCCCTCTCAAGAGAGTGTACTTTTTCGAACTGTATAGCCCTTCTGATAGCTGATGTGCGTAAACCTTGTTCGCAATGACATATCTGTTTAACAATCCTTAAGTGTTTGTCTCAAGATAAGCCACTTGAGTTTCCTTCCAGTCTCCTGTTATAACAGACCAATAATTTATATCAGTGGTCCCCAATCTTTTGGGGCTGCCAGGCGTCCAGGGGCAGGGCCGCACATGTACCGCACGCCCGCGCAGGGGCCGCCCATGCACCCGGGGCCGGCACCAGCATGTGCCACGACCCCGGGACAGGGGCCGCCCATGTGCCATGCGCCCGGGGCCAGCACAGCGCATGTACCATGCGCCCGGGGCAGGGCTGGCCCAAATTCTTCGGCGGGCGCACATAAATGATTTATATCATCAATATCCCAATAACCAAGTCAATATACAATATTTAGAAGATAGAGAGCGGCTGCTCTCTATTGCATACTTCAATGGCAACTTCTCATTCAGAACAGCTACAGATTAGGCTTTATTCATTTATATCACAAACTGAGAACTGGTATGTTTTAATCTTTTACCCAAAACCTCTAATCCTCTTGACATTTGTGATTTGCCACAGTGCATTTACATTGCAACAATAGTTGTATCTGGGGCAAATTCTCACTGTAGACAAAGCATTAAAAGAGCCCTGCATGAATACAAAATTTGGATCTGTATCTGTAGCAGCAAAAATGAGCCGCAGATATTTGCACTGGCATCCACAAAGTCCCACTGGATATTAAGCAAGTAGTCAACTAACCAGAGGCAGCAAAGTAGGGGGGAGCAGGGAGAGAAGCAGGAGCCAGTGCTGGAGGGAGCCATCTTAAAAGCAGATTCCTTCTAATACCTTCTCCACGTGCCCATCCATCCTTCATTGAGTTAGGACCCCTGTGGACAGAAACTGCTGCTGGAGCAGCTTCTGTCCATTGCCAACCCAGGCCACTACAGCCAGGGGCTGCTCTGGCCTGGCAGGCAGCCCAGCCCAGTCTCAGATTATAGATGTTAACTAGCAGTTAATTGACTCCTCGACTAGTCGATAGGCACTTTCGCATTCCTCCTTTGAAAGGGACAAGAGCCCCCATTGGGCTTGTCCATTTCAAAGGAGGAATGCGGAACTCCATGTGCTCCATATGGGCAGTCCCACTGACTATGGGCGGCATGTGGGTGCCAGCTTTTGAAATGCCACCCGGAGCTGGGATCAGCTGGTGACTCCTCCGCTGACCCTGGGCTCCACGCATGCAGTGCCGAGTGGCGTTCAAAGGGGCAGCCCCACACAGCTGATCTCCTGCTCAGCTGTGCATTGCTGCCCCTTTGAATGCTGCCTTGGCATTTCAAAGTGGCAGCGCCGCACAGCTGATCCGGGGCTCAGCTGTGCGGCACTGCCACTTTCAAGTACAGTAAACTTCCGATAATCCGGCACCTTTAGGACCCAGGGGGTGCTGGATTATCAGATATGCCG